TCTTCACACTGTATGCATATCTCTGAGAGGCGTTTATGCGTCAGTCGGTGTCATGTGTTGTGGTAATTTAGTATGAGCCGCCAACTGCGTGAAAATGCGATGTTCCTCGAATGCGAATGTAATAATGTATACAGGGCTTTGAGATGCATACCATGATTAGCCGCGGTGAGCTGGGAGGCTTCCATTTTTACGCTTATGCGCAACACCGGTAAGGCGTTTACAAACTTCAGCAAGGAGGCCTAGCATTAGGACATCAATAACGCGTTGCAATTTAGGTGCGTACAGCTCTTTTCTAGTTCAGGGCAGTAACGAGATCTTGAAATGCGAACGTAGGAGCAGACGGCAGACGAACTGCAGGAAAAAAAACGTCCGCCGGTGCAGTGAATTTATTGTGAACGACAGATTTGCAAAGAATACCGATTTTCTGAGTAGTTTATAGTTCGTCCACCAGTGGGGCAGCTGGACCAAGTGCGCTTGAGAGGACTGAAGCAATGATTGGTCAGAGAGGAACAGTGATGTTAACAAGAGCAGTAATGATGTGTGATGTTGTGACGGCGAGGCTATGACAGTGATAGGTGCAATCAATCATTCGTGTAGAAGCAGTTACAGATAGGACGGCCTGCACGTTGTTGCTTACTCCAGCAGAGGTTCACGTGCTACCGGGGTTGCACATAATTTCCGAGGTCTTCCTAGAATTTTACAGGGCTCTTCTACTTTTGTTAAGCATAGTATCCTACCTGGTGAATTCGCCGGCCTCTTCCCTAGATGTACAATTTTCTCCAGTGCATGTTTTGGTGCCAGCAACACAGTTATGGAATGCCGAAAACCTTTAAGCTCAGCGCCTGTCCTCACTCGAAGCTAGAGATCAGAACAAGATGGTTGGAAACTTATCTCTATTATTCGCTTAACTCTACGACGGGCGGGGCTTCAGTTGTTGGGCCACAGCTAGGTCGCGCACCAGTGTGAGCCTATTTAGCACGTTAACAGGCAATGTGCTTTCGCTGCATATGTCCTGCGGCTCCGACGTGTCTCAGGTTTATTCATAATTTGAGCAGGGTCGTCTCGAACTCAGTACGGATACGTGGTTTCCGATTGTTTGTGGAGCATCTGCAAAGGCCCGTAAGAGATTTACAGCGTCTACAAGCATTCCACACGCATCATTCCATGAAGTATTTGCTTGTTGCTCGCCCGTATGTCAGTAGACTAGTGGACCTTTCACTCCTTGCTGTACCGCTTTTACAGCATCATCTCTTCTATTCAGTTTCAGTACTTTACATCTACAGAAAGGACACATTACCCGTGGGATGGAGGAGAAAGACTATGCTTGCCTATACCTTTGCAAACAGACACATAAATGAGGCTTTTATTATTCTTATTAGCCGGATCAGCACATGCGACCGTGTGGTTTTTCAAGCATACAGACTGCGAGCCGCTGTAATTTAGATAGATATATCTTTTGTGCACATTCTATCTACGACACACCGATTACAATATTAATCGGTAGAAGAACGCTTCAAAAAATGCAATATGGCTTGTTATTTTGCATGCCTCACGGTGGAACCGCAACGCTGTGGATCTTTGTGTCAAGCCACAAGAGGGCCATACGCTTGGTTTGCTCTAACGTGTAAGCACATTGCTGAGCGCAACTGATTGGCTCCTCCACTGGTGTAATGTACGTGTACGCCATTGGCATAGTGCTACGAATATAGTTACCTTGTTGATTTCCAGGTTTTATTCAGGCTTGAGGGCTTGACAAATTGCATTTTCATGACACTCAGGAGCAAATGAATATGATTTCTTGCACCAAACCTAATGTTCCAGCACGTTGGAGGTGCGCCTAGCGTTGCTGGTGAGCGTGCAGCACTGTTCCAGCATCAATCACATGTTGAGGACATAGTTTTGCTTGGCACTTTACTGACAAATGGCTGAGCAATGCAAGCCTTTAAGTGACCCAGTAGCGTAATCCACTTCTTGTCCGAACCGCCAGCGCCACCCCCACTGACAAAAAAGGCTCCATATGGGAATCTCACCATGCACAATTCCGATCAGTATGCAATCAGCTTCTAGGCAAAAGGCATTTTAGCAGTATTCTCCAAGAGCATCAGACCCTACGGATATAATGCATAGCGTTGGTATACTCGAAGGTAAGCATGGTTGGAAAAGGCTAAGCGTACGTTCGCTGAAGGCTTTGTGGCCTTTCCGAAAACCGCAGATGCTGCGTGCTGAAGGCGTGTATAGCGGCCGCATCTGTAACCGTGCTGCTCGATTATTGAGGCATCATATCCTCTGCAAATGATGCAAACATCTATTTGCCTGTGGAAAATGAATGAAAAGTGCGCTGAATCACCTTGTTTGTTTTACAGTATCTGCGGACTAAATGTGCGAACTTGTAAAGAAGGTGGTGCTTGGATGCAGAGCCCGCTTTGCGTAGATGTGTGTACACCAGCAAGTCTGCTTATCAGTAGTGCTTTGCACACCTTAATGCAAGTGTGAAAATAGCATGTACATTCTTGTGTGCACCAAATTCGTTTACTAAGTAGACAAGCTTTTGCTGGGACCACGCCTGTTGTGCTCTCTAATTTTGCATCTCTGATGTAATGAGGAGAAATTATCAGTATTGTAAACAATCTCATGCTGCTTGCTCTAAAAGTGCACGTTCTGTGTGGTTATAAAAGGGGACGATGGATTGTTGCAGGGGCAGCAGGAAATACATCCTCCGCCTCAAGTTAGTTGAAACTGGCAACAGTTGATTTCAGGGCTAGTCGAAGAGCCCTTCTTTTATCTTTGCGTATACGCGACCTCAGCATTTAAAAGTGCTTTGGCACAGTGAGTGCGTTTACGTGTTGCCTTGGTGTGGTACATTGTCTCTGACTCCTAGCGGTTCGATGTAAATTTGTGATTTTCATACTCACGTTACTGTGTCCTAAAAATTTTCGTACACTAGAAACACGCTGCAGGCCTTGTTTCGTCATACTGCAATAGGTCATATTATACAGCGCTTATCTGCACGACTAATCAGCTTCAGAACCTCACAGAACAATCACGTGATTCCTGATCTATGTATCGGCACCGCGCCTATCTGAAACGGCAAACAGTGGTCCATGGCCAACTTGGTGGGCTCCAAAAGCGTAGATTAACAAGCGATTGCCTTGCTATTCATACAAGACAGCCCTTAGAGGCTTCTACATATGTAGAAATGCCTGTTTGAAATGGGCGCATCATGAGCAACATATGCACCTACCAACATCAGTAGGAACGGAAGAGGCAAGTATAATGCGGTCAACAATACAGGGATGGGAAGCGCAAGCAAACGGAGAAGTTGCATGACGAGGAAATCAAGCGGCCTCCCCGAAACTGGTGGCTCTTGCCATGCACTGCAGCCCTCTCTAGTGAAACATTAACGTAACGTGCTTTAGGGCAATAAGTATATGTTTTCAGCTTCCAAAGCACAACAACAAAGATAAATAACCACTTAAGAATTTCCTCTTAGTACTTGGTGACTGTGCTGTGGCAGCATTCACAACTGAGTCTCTTCGAGTCCGCTTCCCAGTTTCGTCGCAAATTTTTTCTCATATCAAACGCATTGATCGGTGAAAGGTGACAAGTTAGTCAGCGACAGAAGCGGGTGCTGGCCTTGAGAATTTCTACTTAGATCTGAGGGGAAATATGTGAAGAGCTGGTAGTCGGTATTGTAGAGCACAAAGCTTTGGTTTTCAGTTCCAAGGTCTCACGTGCATGACGAGTGGTTTAGCACTGCTACTGCGGCAATGCAGTGCAGTTCAGTCTTTGATACTCTTTCGTGAGCGGACGCTTGAGGAGAGGTTGCCTGCAACCTTCGATTTTCGAGGCCGTCTTCAAGACGTCTTGCCGTGTTTGGCAGGTGGTGAGTAGAACTGGACACTACGTATCAAGGCTTTGTTACGATCGATGCTTTGAAGCTTAATGGGCCTGGATTGCACGAGTTTGACTGCGTCTGTACAGCGCGCGGTGTCGCATATCATATCTCTACTTTACCCTCTACCTCGGGCGCTTTAGAGTTTTGATCACATTGGCCACGGGAAGGGGCAGCACTTTTGTATTGTCCAGTACAGAGCCACTTGGGGAGTCAGCACGGGCTTCACAAAAACGTAGAGGGACGATATCAAGCCGTTTAAAGAAGCTAACAAAATTTTCTATCTTAACGTTTACACTGCTGGAGAACCGGCGTCTACTATTATCTGATTTCATTGAAAGGTTAGAAAAGGATCAATTGAAAGTTATTGCCCACTCAGAGGTGGAGTTAGCGAGTCTACAGAGGCAATTCGTTGAGATGAGAGCAAATCCAATGAGTCCATTCCCTTGTCAGTCTCTCGTACACGAAGACGGAAGTGGTATGTAAGATTTCTTGAACATGATAGCGACATACCTTCTAGAGGGAGGAACCAAACTTACTCAGTGGGACACTGAAAGCACCTAAAGCGTCTTTCATTGCACTATTGGCTAATCCTGGGTATACCGGGACGAATATGGAGGATTGAAAAGTTCCCCTAGGAAAACACCTCTTGAGGCACTTTCGTAGGAATAGACGAGGGGTGAAGGTTAAACTGGCCCAAAACAAGATAGATCATGATATATACTTTGTGGGGCCTTTACTGCTTGTTTACCAGGGCATTGTGTCACAGTCCGAAGATGCCTTTGGCAAATACTTAGCCAGCCTGTCAGAAGAAACACAAAATGAACGACACAAAGCGCTCCTTGATTCAAAGGACGCTGCAGCTACGTTTTGAAGTCAAAGACCCTTGGTACCAGTTGTGCGCAGGATGCTGCGGATACTGTCATCACATAGGAGATGTGCGACGCCAGAATTAACAGGGGGGACCCGAAATAGACGAGCGAGTACTCAATGACACTACGTTGAAATTTGTAGCGAAAGATGCGGGCAAGCCTCGACCGAGGAGGATCAACGAGAACGGACCGATGAGGCCTCTGCTACGCAATAACACAGGACAGTTTGGAAAAAAATGATTGCTGCGGAATCGCGTTTAGTGAATTTTAGGAGAGTTGTGCCGCAATCATAGAGGCAAGGACTACGGTGGCGCCGATTGCTCAGCGTGAGCCATCCAGGGAAGAGCCACTCATCAGGGCACCATTTAGCGCGGACAAAAAACAAAAGCCTTCAATTTGTCGAGCACCAAAGTAATGGTAGACGCAATCACTAGAGCAACCATGCTGCGCATGAATTAATATGTTCCGTCGCCAACGGACCCAACACCACCCTAGTCTCGCCAGACTGAAGGCAACGTCTGTGTTCCCAGAGGATAGACCGAGAAGGAACCAGGGAGACCAAAGCAGAAATGCCATTGGTATGTCTAACTAAATTGTGTTTACTAGGGTATGATGAACCGAAGCTTGGAGATATAGGACTAAGGGCTATCAACGCATAGATGGAAGTACGTCAGAGACGAAAGCAGGCAGTCGTGTTAACGGGGATCACTGTACAGTATTCGAAGGTGAGGATGAGCAGACGGTAGCCTGGAAATGTCATTGACGCTTGTGAGCTACTATGTGTCACCAGGCGCATAGCAGAGTTGTTTCTCGGCATAGTGGAGCACCAGCATGAAGCGCTGTAATACAAGGGAGTATCCAGACGCCTGATTAGCTCAGCACTGGTGCAGCGCCTGGTCCTGGATGACGGCTTCCCACGTCACGAGGGTGGCTGTAACTCGGCTAGCAGGCAAAGCTCGCAAATAAATCTTATTACTACGTGGCCATCTATGTGGTGGGCATATTATTTTAGGGTGAATACCTGGTAGACCCTCTTACATGTGACTTTATTGAGGCTATTCTGGCTTAGCAGATATCAGATATAATGGTACTTCTGTTCATATACGTTCCTTGGAGATGTGAAGTTCCACTGGTGTGACCTGCCAATGCTGCTGCGGGAGGGGTTCGCTGGAGGCACGTAACCTCACCTCCAGGACTTACTCAGAAACTACAGCAAACCAGGCATACGATGCTCTTGCCCAACAGGTTGCTCTCATGTCGATTGCGGAGGCATTAGCTTTACCGCAACCGCCTTCTGAGCGCTACAAGCCATTCCTAAAGCCAAATGCATTCGTATCACCAGCCGCACTTCAGCAGGCGCCCACCAGCACTGCAAAGCTCTAGTTGGCATTGCAGTCCTCGATTCTGTTCTCACGATACCTGCTCCTGTGAATGAAGCGGTGGATTCGCTTTTTAAACGCTTTCAGGGGGTTTTGCTCTGTGTTCGTTGAGCATCAGCGTACTCTCGGTTCAACTGTCTCAACTCGCGAACCCCCCCCACTTTGCCGGAGGTGGGCGAGGCCCACAGAGCGTCGGTGTGGCCTAGTGCACTGCTAATCACACGTATATGGGTTTTGCATTCCAGTTAGATTAAGCTTAGAAACTACCGTCGCAGGTGCTGGTCTCCCGTCGAGCCAAAAGACGTCTTCTTACCAGTTGCCGTGCAAAGGGGCTGACTTCAAAGCGTCCTGTTGATAGCCAAATATATGTATCGGCGAGACTACGAACCTCCCTGCTGATTAACGTGAACTCCATAGTGCGATTGCTACACACTACCCGTGAAGTGCTGGGTGCCGCGCTAAATTTTTCGACGCTTTCCATAGAAGCCGGTCTTTTTCAGATAAGGTTTGCACCAAATCCGGACAGGTAGCAGACTGATTTCTGTTAAGTAATGCGTCTCTTTGAACTTCAGGTGATGTAGTTCGGTATCCAAGATGCACGCGCCTTGACGAAGATTAATATCAATGCATTTCTCCAAATAGTGTTGGCCCAATGAGTAGTTGCCTCTTTTGACGACATTCGTATATAGAGTGTGAACCCAGTCTCTCACGTGCAGCCGTTATGGCTATTGCTGAGCACCTCCTAGTAATATCTCTGTACTACCAGTTCAGAACTTACAAGGTACGAAAGCAGGAGTTCGAGTACTTTGGCTACACCATCGGCGGGCCGGAAGTTAAGGGCTCAGCTGGAGACATCATGCAATTTTAATCTGTTCAGAGCTACCACCGCACGAGACGCAGGTGCAACAGTCCTTCGGGACTGCCAAACATGGCGCACATTCGTGACGCCCGAGTTCGCCGTCGTCGCATGGCCGCTCGAAGCATATGACACTTCCTGGGTCCCACCGCATACGTCCGCTGTGAAAAACTTAAAACGCGGCTGGTCGACTATACGGTTTGCCCAAGTCCCCGACTTTACCAGACCTGATGACCTTAAAGAAACTGCATCAAACTATGCCTGAGGCTCAGTATTTGAACGCGACGACAACCAAGCGTTGTTTGAGCCAGATTACAAATTTTTTACTGCAGTTGTACCCCATATCCACCCAAAAGGCTCAGATGTTATTCAGCGCTTTGAATCCGTGGGTATACGTACGTCCCTGTGCAATGGCTTACCCCACACCTCACACCAGGATTTGACCTACTTGCAGCAGTCAACACCTCTAATCCACAATCAAAAGACATGGAGCATTGGGTCGATATCCTGGACAAATTCCAGAATCTCATGATGAACTATCTAAAAGGCGCGCGATACTATATTGTGGACGCTCTCGCCCGCCATCCGCACTTTGCCCGTGATGGAGATGCCCTGCATCTGTTCGTCACTCCTTGCATCGCTTCCTACGGGTGAATGACCGCCATTACTGAAGCCGCTGATGCGCTAGAACAGCAGCGCGGGAATCGGGGCTGTCAGGAAGCTGATGTGGAGGTGCCTGCTTACTAAGGGGTTCAAGCGGCCCCCTTCAAAACTCCCCCTTCCCAATTGAGCCAGTGTCACAAATCGAGGCACCAAAGCGGGAGATCGATATGCCCTTCTGCACCGGAGTGTTCAACTGCAGGAACGTAATTGCTCAACACCGGTGAAAGGCAGACCTTGAACAGCGAGGACTTACCTTCTTTGTCCCTTGATGATGACCCGATACGAGCTCAAGCTTGGGCTGCTTAATCCAACTGGCCCGACCCCATCGAACCTTCCAAAGTGATGCAGTGGCAAAAAACGAGGGGGGTTATTCTTACTTGAAATCAGGAACAGAAAGCACTTCGTCTCATCAGTCATTCTCTGCGCATTTGCATACTACATGTGGCGCATTCGCATCCCTCCGCTACCTAGGTTCTATGTGTTGTTCGGAGCCATGACCACGTCATTGCCTGCAGACGTCTTGCTTGCAAACGATGTAGTCACGTTAAGCTAAACCTCATCACTAATCTCCCTTTTAGAATGCTCGGTACTATGCGAACTTATTTTAGTGCCCGTGGGGTGTGCTGTGGCGAGCCTGCAAGGTATTTATCCAGAGGCCAGGCAGCTTACATTAGCCACCCCGCATTGCTTTCAAACTTTTTTGTCACGTTAAGCTAGACTTTATCACGGAATCCTTTTCTACGATGACAACAACAGTTCACCTTCCGTCTAGAACACTGATTTATAAGACGACGCAGTTCATTTTGACTACCAAGGCTAGTTCAACAGCGAATACGGTTCAATTGGCCGCATCTCGCCCATTTTGATTTCGTGGGGTTTCAAAAGTCCGTTTTGATCAGGGCCCACGATGTCACCCTGACAAGTGAAAGAGTCTATGCCAGCCTTTGACCGTCAAGCGGATGGTGGCATCCGCATATTACCTTTAAAGGGGCGGTGCAAAGAATTCATGGACAGACGTGCTGCGGAGTTTGATTCCTTAATCCGACGGGAGCAAGTGTTAGATCGTGCTTCTCGCTTCTGCGGTCTCATACAGTACCATCGGTGACGAGTGAGTATCATAATACGGCATCACCAATTGACACGCTTGGGAGTGTCGCGCCAACACTCACGCCCAACGACCAAGTGCTACAGGCAATTGTGTGAGCCGACCTAGAGCCATATACTTCATGCGAAACGACAGCAAAAGCTTTGAACTGATTTCGGGCTAGGGAAAGCTGAGGCTACTATCGGTTGCGAAGTGTGGATTAGTACCCCTAATGTTCCGAGTGTGTCCATCTGCTCTAAACTTGGGTCCTATTACTGCGAACCGATTTCGCTAGTCTAGCAGGTTTGCAAGGCTGCCGAAAGCGGTGCCGTACCTCCCTGAGACAGGCGCCACGATGTTTCCCGCATCGCCACGCATGAGAGCTCGATTAGGCGGTATTCAAATGACGTTCAAAAAGCCAGCGGTTCGTCGGCTCTACATTCGGGACACCACAGGGCAGGCATCAGCCACCTACGGAGTAGAATACAGTGTGACCAATAAGAGTAAGGGTGACTCCCTTCGGTATCTGCGCAAATGACGCGCCAAGCCAGAGGACCACGCCACCTGGAAACAGACCCAACCTTACAAAGTGCCGGCTTTCTTCCGCGCCTGGCAGCTCAACCAACTTAAAAGGCCCCGACAGGCAACAGCCGGCTCTGCCAGTTTCCCAGAGGCAAGGGTCATGGGAGGAGAGCAAGTAGCTGAATCATCGCAGCCGCTTGAGGGACCTACCAAAATTTCTTTTGGCGAGCAGGCTCTGTAGCATAAATTTACCTGGACGGCAGCTGGAGAGGCAAGCCCCAGGAATTCACAATGATCCCTGCGAGATACACGAAGGACGATGCCCTTGAAGAAAGCTTGCAGTTGACCCCGCTGACGGAACACGCGACGGTCACCAGGGGCGAAAGCTCCTTGCGAGACGAATGAAAGTGTAGTGCAGGACACTAAACTAGCAAGATTTTAGTAGAGAAATAAAGGCATAGACTAATACTGCCAAAACAAAGAGGCTTAAACAAATGAACGTCACCCCTTGGCAATAAGTGGGAGACATGGCCTCCGTGGGGCGTAAATAAGAGGCACAAAGTATCACGTCCAGGATCTAGTGGATGACTTCAAGGTCTAGAGCTCGAACATTAATTTTCTCGTCAACGGCACAAAGTGCTTAGCCGTTTAGTGCTTTCTGCATATCAATAACCTGCCTGCAGTAGTGTAAGTGTGCGCCCAACAGACGCCGAATAAAATGCACCGCCACCCGACCGCTCATTCAGAATGTAAGCGCACTTCCTCTCTAACATAGGGCCCGTCAACAATAGTATCCCCAAAACTTGAAATATGTTGTCTCTTGAGCTGCTAGTGGCGGGCAAGCAAGCAGGAGAAATTGTGTAGGACAATGCAATATTTTCAGAGTATAGCAGTGCCATGGTCAAGTCTCACGGCCATAGTCGATGAGATTGCCATTCAGCACCGCATGCAGTTTTTTTATCAGCTGTCTCATAGACGTTGCGTAAGCATCAGCTTAGCTGCTCTACGATCTGCATGTAGTGCGCTCACCACACTCATCAAATGCAGCTGTGGGTTGCACAAAACGTGCAATGCTTCTTTGTATGTAGAATGCGACCCGACACCGCTGCTTTCCTTTTAGAGACATGACCAGCTTGGCGATCACTGGCACTTCAGTCAGGAAGGAGCCTCATTAAACTGCGCATTGAGTAGGTGCCCGTAAACATGGATACACGTGGTGTCGCCTAGTACAATGCCTGTTGCATTGTTTGGAATTTGGTGAGTGTGTAAAGGTCTGAGCCGCAGATCTAGTAAAAACTGCAACATGCTCGACACCGAGCCAGATAGTCATGATTTAACAATCGGGGATCATCCAAAAAATGTCTAGGTACTAGCTCTCGGCGATGTGAAGGTGTACTTGCGTGGGAGGTGGACGTTTGGCGGCAGGAGGTGTTTGCAACAACTGTCCATATGAGCTTATGAGCTTTTCACCCTGCTGTACAGTTTGCCAGCTCGTTGAAAAGGACACATATCTGCACACAAGAGTGGCATGTAGCAAGTCTGCCTACCTCACGCACCGCGTTTGATGTACCCGATAGCTTCTTTTCCGTTCTGCCCTCGATTCGCATACTCGGTGGCTTAGTTTTTTCTATAAAACAACGTCTCTGCTGGCAGATGAACAAGCAGCCAGCGTTTCGTGGAGGGATTACTGTTACACATCCCAGGGCTGGGTTGGTAGGACATGCTAGTCGTAGGACAGCGTGAATTCAGTAACCATTACGAACAGCTATTTATGAGCTATTTGAGAGAGACTAAATTGGCAGCAGCTGCTCTACGGCTGGCATGGGGTATGTCTAGGAGATTCACCATACGCACTTAAGCACGAAACGGAAACTTCCAACGCGTCGTTGTATCGAGACCGCTCAGCAAGCTTGCGTTTTTGCGGCTTGGAGGCAGGCACTATTAGGTTGGTGTTCACTCCACTCCCGAAAGGGACAAATACCGACCACAGTGCTCACAGCGGACACACTGCCGATTGGGCATGCGGCCTTTAGTTACGACATAGCTCCAATTGTTATAGTAGACGTACTCGCTTGAAGAATTGAGATTTGACGAATGGATGACAGACCGGTACGCGCTTAGCGTAAGTTGGCTGCAGTCTGATAGACCAATAGAATTTGCAGTGTCAAGATCCATTCGCTGTCAGCGATTTGCCAGGCGAGCTCCGTAGAGGTGTTCAACAGCAATGGAGGGAGTGAAGGCTTGTGGAGTCAAAGAACAAATGCAAAGCCTGTGTCAGGTTGCTATTGAGAGTACGCATAGCTGTCGGCTGCTAAAGCATTTTGAAACGTGTCACAACCAATTAGTCGGCTATGATAGCGCGCTTCTATACCCAGAAGCTGTCTAGAAGAGACCAAAATGTTTCTTGATGCGCAGGCCAAGCGGTCGAGACCTCAAACGTTTTTTTCTGCCGACCAGAACTACTGACGATCAAAGTCGATATTCAGGTGCTGTTGAATCACGAGGTAGGCGACGCAATGTGTGAGACCCTTTTAACATGATGCCTTCTGCTTCAGGCTGCAACATTTCCATTTCACGGAACTCGGAGACCACGAAGTTTAGGCATTGGGCGTCGTTTAAAGATTTTCACTCGGTGAATTTAAAGAATTCTAGAGAGGTGCTTATGCAACTACTACCAACAGGCTGTGCTTCCCTCATACGTCAACTCTAAAGCTTTGCCCTGCACAAGAACATGCTATGCGTCGTTGTGTGGAGACTTCTCAGCAGGAAGTTTAGGTGCCTAGGCCTTATGGGCTTGCTGCAAACGCCTTACGGAAGAACACCATCAAAAGCAAACATTGTAGCCTTCCCAACATATATAGCTAACCTGCATCTAATCGAAAACCCATGCGAGTTCTCTTTCGGGGGTTGTGTATGGGTATCAGGCTGTCACGCAATTAATCGCATGGAATCATGCTCTAGAAGAGTAATTTTTAGTATTAGCGCCACACAAATCA